CTATGATTAATACAGCTTGTGTGCATTTGCGCCTTGTGAATTTCTAGTTTTTCCAGATGTTTCACAGCCTGCCTGGATTTTGTGGCTTTAATGATCGACGCCCGATCCCAAAAGACTTCGATATTCTGCTGCTTGGCAAAGGCCGCAAGCACCGTAGAGTCTATGTTTTTATTGACTGATTGCTTATGTTCAGCAATCCTTTTCTTTAAGTTTCTTAAGGTTGCCCCTATGTACACTAGATTGGTGTTAAATCTACGGTCTTTTAATGGTATAGAGTACACCCCTGCCATTGCGCTGTGTTCGTAATTGCCTTTATCGTTCCTTAAGAGCCTGTATACGGTGGGATTACGTTTGTAAACTATCCGTACATCCTTATCCCTGGTAACTTTCTTAACCATTCCTTTAAGGAACGGTATGTAATTGAGTACGATTCTCTCTTTGCGTTGATTCCCTCCCTGAGAGGGGAGTCGCTTCCGACAATTCGCGATGAGGGCATCTATTCTTTCTCTACGGTATCCTTGCTGCATCGCCATGTTTTTTATATACTCTAATTCTTTGTAAGTGTCGCAGACGCTGGTGCAATGCGTGTGTGCCCTCTTTATCCACGAACGAAAAACGGCCATTTTTATATGCTCAGGGTCTGCGGAGTTCCTAGGAATGACGATAGGAAGATAAGTAGGTTTCCGGTATATATCTGTTCCGATTTCACCATCTTTGCAAGATATAGTTAAATCTAAAAAATTAACAATGCTTCCATTTTCTTGTTCCAGCTCCAGAGTTAACCCATACGGGTTGTCGTTGATCCGATCTAAAAACTGATTAACTCTGTGATTATCTTTCCATAAAATAAAGATATCGTCCACATATCTTGCGTAAGCCAATATGTCTTCCTGGAATGAGGGGAGTATATCATTTTCGAGATTACGCAACACTAATTCGCAGAGTATAGCTGACATGGGGCTACCCATCGGTACGCCCCGTGTCTGTAAGTAAGTTTTATCTTCAAATTGAAAGAAAGATGTGTGGCATACTAAATCCGCCAATTCCAAGATCTCCATGTGGTATTTCATAGAATTGCAAATTTTTGCTAACAAAAAGTCTCTCAGGGCGCAAAAGCAGGGAGGTAATTTAATTGACGGGTACAGAGCTTTGTAATCTAAAACCGTCATCCATTCTTTATCCATAAGCATGACATCCTCCAACTTTCTTAGCAACTCCACCGCATTTTTTACCGAAAAAGGCGAGTCTTGCATATTTTTCCGTATAAACTTAACCAGTTGTTTCTCCAACTTGAACGTAGGAGCATTACACTTCTCCACAACAGGGCGCAGCTGTGTTCCTGGCTTATGTGTCTTTCCGAACGCGAAAATTCTTGGGGTTCTCGGGGTCTGCACAACAGCCCTCTCCATATCCAGAAGACGTTGTCGGAATTGTCGGAAGCGACTCCCCTCTCAGGGAGGGAATCAACGCAAAGAGAGAATCGTACTCAATTACATACCGTTCCTTAAAGGAATGGTTAAGAAAGTTACCAGAGATAAGGATGTACGGATAGTTTACAAACGTAATCCCACCGTATACAGGCTCTTAAGGAACGATAAAGGCAATTACGAACGCAGCGCAATGGCAGGGGTGTACTCTATACCATTAAAAGACCGTAGATTTAACACCAATCTAGTGTACATAGGGGCAACCTTAAGAAACTTAAAGAAAAGGATTGCTGAACATAAGCAATCAGTCAATAAAAACATAGACTCTACGGTGCTTGCGGCCTTTGCCAAGCAGCAGAATATCGAAGTCTTTTGGGATCGGGCGTCGATCATTAAAGCCACAAAATCCAGGCAGGCTGTGAAACATCTGGAAAAACTAGAAATTCACAAGGCGCAAATGCACACAAGCTGTATTAATCATAGGGATGCTGACGGATTATCGTCGGCATGGAAATCCTTCTACGATGAGTGACGTAATGTAAGCGGGAAGATTATATAAGATAATTTTTATTGGATGCATATAATTTATTTTATTTCTTTTATAATTCTTAAGATTATTTAAACTTGGTAAATGTTAACGTATTTACATATATTTATGTAATCGCTTTTTGAATTTCGTTTTACGTAATTTTCGAATTTCTTCGTTCGATTCACAAATGTTAACTGATGATGATCGCTTAAAGCGTTCGAAAGCGTTTTTAAATATTAAAAAACGATTTGCTGGATGTTTAAAGGTGTTGATTTTTATTTATTGTGTGGTTCCAGTAAGGAAAGTATTTTATTCATGGTGATATTGGTAAGTTGGACGAATCGCTTTCTATTCACAGCAAATATTAACCTCTTTCCTTAAAAACATATTAAGTTAGACACACTGGAAGAAAATACTCTTCTACATTTCACAATTCTGGTTTTCACTTCGTTTCTCCAATCTCTTTGTTCTTTTCCTCTCATCTCCATGCGGTGCCAAAAGTGTGCTGGAGAGCTTTCTTCACCGTCCTTTCTGTCCCCATCGTCACCTAAGAATGAATTTGTGGTCATCGTTATACCCTGAGGGTCGCATCACTTCTCATTGTTACTAAGGGATCACCTGCTGATATGCTGTTAAACACAGGTTGGGAGAAAATGCCAGAAGGAAAGACAATAGACATGAAGACAAAGGAAATATTATATTCAAAAAATAAATTATGACTATACAATTATGGCACATAGCCACAGTTTAATATGATGGCCTTGATTTAAGTCATTCTTAGCATTCAAGTATATCAAGCTCAGATTGACAAAATAAAATCTCTATAAATCAAAATGTATTTTAAAAATAAGCACAAAGAAAAATCCTTGTATTTACAATACAGTTAAACCTTGTTAAATTGAAGTTTAAGGTTAAAAATATTCCAATTTTGCATTAGAGTTTCAAGTTAATCACTTTAATACCTGATTTTCTAAAATTTTTCTTTGCCCTTAAATTTTCTATTATCAAACTGTTCACAGAATAATTACAAAATTGTATACAGTTTACAGCACTTTTGAGTGCATTATTAAATTGCCTCCTTGTGTCCCAATTAGAATGCTGGTAACGTACTGTATCACCAAAAAGATAGTGATACTAGACTGTAATGGCTTGGTGTGTTGTGTTTGGCATGGAGCCATAGTATTTGTTTATCTTAATTCTCTGTATTCATAAGAAATGCAAGAGAAAATGAAGATTATAGACCTATCAAAGAGTAAAGGGTACACAGGAAAATGGGTTCTAGATAAAAGTACTCACAATTTTGACTTAATGAAATTGTATTACATGAAAAAACTCTATATATTTGTACCTGGGACCTGTAGACATCTTTCAGTAAATGCAGTTTGACTTAGCAAGGTGTATTATAAAGTTATCAGATCTAATTTTTAAAAAAAATTTTACAGAACAATAAAAATGTTTGTAATGACAAAAAAGTTTCTTGTTGACAAAGTACACAACAGCCCTTTTCTCGTAGGCTATTGTTGGATTTAGAGTTTTTATCTTCTCTGTAGTTGACTTTTATCAGAACTGCTCACAATAATTTACATAACAGTAGAAATTACAACTCTTGTAAAAAGGCTTTGTCATTTTTTATTAAAAAATCTAAATTATGTACCTGAAATGAAGTTCATAGATTTAGTGTTCTGTGTATGTTGTTTTATGTGTGGGATGGCAACTGTGGCCATTTGTTGGCAGTTGTTTCTTGATATAGTTCATTTGTCTCTGCTCTCTGTGGTCTCCTCTTTCTTTATGGATAGAATTTATTATCATTAAATAACTGTTGTTTTTATTATTAGAGTTAAATAGTCCTTAGACATAGTGTACCATAATATATTTGATAAAATTCAAATAAAGAGAAATCAATGTATTTTAAACTATTTTGTCTTGTTAAAGTACATTAATAATTTTAAATGTTTTATGTTATGGCTTTAATTTTTTAATAATTAAAAATAAATAAATAATAATAAGTATTTGAAGAATTTTAAGCCATAAAAAAAGCTGTGCATACTAGACAGTCTATATATGATTTAATTTAAAATAATATCTCTGTCTTTACTTTAAAAATTACTTCAAACTGGCATGAAAAAGGTTGAAAAATTGTACACTAAATAAATTCAAAGTATTTAATTTTATTAAAAAATAATAATTTTATTTAGGATGTAATCTTGTTAAAAGAAAATCCCACCTATTTTTCCCTGCAGAAAAACAAATAAAAAAATTTTCAGCTGTTCTAATTAACCGTAATATGTAAAGAACCTACTTGAAGGTTTAACAAACATAATTCCACAGAATTAATTCTAGGATGACATAATTCCACAGAATTATGTCATCCTAGAATTAATGAAGCTGCCGCTAGTTCTATTAATAATTTTTCACTTCAGTGGAGTCCCATAATTTAAATCATTATTTTGAGAATATTTATTTTGTTACATTATTATTAATAAAAAGTTTTATCCTGGACAAAAGTATAAACTTAGAAAAATTTAATAAAAGTTTCCGATGAACTTTGAAAGGTATCCTTCTTAGACTATTTTCATACACCATAAGGATGTAGCAATTTTACTGCAGAGTTGATCTGTATTTGGAAATTTCTTGTATACCTCAACAACCTACAATGTTCCCTTAATGGCAACAGAAACATTTATAAAATTTATATATTTAATTAATAAAAAAATTTCTCATTATGGTAATTTTCATATTCAATTTATCACGTGCCTTTTTTTTTATATTATATAAGATAATTTGTTATTTTATTCTATATTTTAAAAATGTACAACATAAAATAATTCATTGTTCATTTGTTGCATTTTGTTTACCATTTATATCTACAGTTTTTCAAGTATTTCTGCCATGTACTGGAAAATTAAAAGCAGAAGTAGAAATAGTGCTACAACTCAATATTACTATGACATCATCAATGAATATGACGAGGCTCAATTTACGGAGGAAAAAAATATGTTTAAAAGGTAAATTGCAAATTCATTATAATAATAATAATAATAATAGATCTACATAAATGTTAATAATTAATATGAATATTTGGATAAGTTTTCATGTATAACAACTATACTGAAATTTTAATATATTACAATATATATATTTATGTATGTATTGTATATGTATATGTAATTATGAATCTTGAAGTAGTTTTGATTTTTCATATAAAATAATTATTTTATAACAGTATTTAAAAAAAAACAACAGTAACAATAAAGAAATGTCAAACTTAAACTTATTTCAATATCTAAATACCAGATTTTCTTAAAGCTACATTTAAGACCTTTAATCTAACTTTTTTAAGCTAACGTTTAATCAACGAAGTGAAGTAATTTGGTTTAAAATGCAAATGGTTGATTGCCATCTTTTACTAATATTAATGATTATATTAATTTTATAATAATAAACTTGTGCCTTAAATTATTCTTGCAACTTAATTAATTAATTAATTAATTAATATTTAATTAACAGTAATGTTTTCACCCTAATTTTATAGGTCTTTGTCAGTTATAAAATACAAAATGATTATCAAACAAACAAATTTTGTTCTGTTGTTTGTTATTAAGTTGCTGGAGTAATTTAAGTTTTGTGTTTATTATCTTGATATCTTTCTCTAGTTTTTCAGTTGTTTCTTTAATTTTATAATTAAATTTTTTATAAAAAAGCTTAAAATTTAGTTTAAGTAAGGCTAATTTTAGACATAAAGAAAATATTTGTTTTATTTCTTTATATTTTAAGCATTTTTATAAAGTCATTGTAATTGATGATAGAAACAAGAAGCTTTAAAAATATTATAATGAAATGGGTAATTGCGAATATTAAACTTATTATATTTGTTAATATGGAATAAGAATTTTATTATCAAATAGAAATAATCTTATTTTATATATTGAGTGACAGACTGATGGAACATGTATCCGCAATAGCAAACAACAAAAATTTGGATGCATGCAGTAAAATAAATTGTCTTTATGATTACACTTTATAAATAAATAGTATTTATAGTTTTTCACTTATCTATGAAGTGTGTATTTTATGTTAAAGTTTTCTTTAAAAAAAATAATAAAATAAAATTATATTTTATTACAATTTAAATGAAAAATAATTTTACAGATGACAGCCACAATGGAACAGTTATGATGGGTAAGGTTTTCATGAGAATTAAAAAAATTTTTAGTTAGATTGTTTTATTTATATTTTTTTTTTGTTCTATTTTAAATAAGAAGTATTTTACTATTTTAAAAATATTTTCAGGCCCTACTTCTATTGCAACTGTCACTAATTCTTTTTATATTGGTGTTGGTTGTGCTACAGCACTTATTGTTATTATAGCCATAGTTGCCCTTATCAGTTACTTTAGGTCTCAAAAACCACATCGAAATGAAACCAAGAGGTAAAAAATTTTATTACTGTATAATAAAAACAATGTTTAAACTTATTATATAATTTTTTAAAATACTTTATTATATTTCTTTACATATCCAATTTCTTGATATTCTTTATAATAAATTAAACATTCAAAATACAATAAAATTTTCTTTCTAAATTGTATGAATTATTTTTAGGTTTGTATGCATTGTATTACAGAATATTCTATTTTTGTGCTTATAACTGACAATAGCATAAACTTTGCAGAAAATTGCTAGAACAAAAATAAAATCTTTGTGTAACCAGTCCCACCATATATTTCTCATCTATAGGTGCAGTGGTGTAACTGAGGAGGTGAAGGTGGGTATGTGCCCACCAAAATGAGCCTGTAGAAATAAAAGCCTGTAGAATTTTTCTAAGTAATGTTAAATTTGGCACCAAGTATGAGGTTTGCCTTGGGACTAAAACTGTTCAGCACACAAGAGTCTAGCTCTCTGATAAACATTAGTTCTAAATTATGCTCCTATGGCAAACAACACCAATTGTGGCAACTGGATTTGTCAGTTTTGGCTCATAGTTACAAGCCTTATCATTTGTTTATCGTACTATCAACGTTGTTGAATTCATTATACATTAAATAAAATGGAATGTAGTGAATGTGGTATAAAATATGCTGGTAAAATACTTGTGTTTTTTATTCGTAATTATAAATTATAAATGCTTTGTTCGAAATTATTAGTTAAAACTGAAAATAAAAGAAATTTATGAATAGACACCTTGCTTAAAAATGAATTATTCTATAAAAAATTAATATTGCAAGATTATGTTAAGAGATGGAATTATGAATAAAATAAAACATAGGGGACTTAAAATTTATGATCTATGACAGTTATAATATATAGAACTATTAGGCTGAATCACTCATTATAATGTACTTAATGGTATTTTCCACTTCATATTTCTGTTTCCATTCTTTAAAATCACCAAATGAATTAAATGTCTGATTATAATTAGATATAGTAACATCATGTAAATCTCTGAAGTGTAACAATACTTATTTTGTATGAAATTCACCTGAACACAAAATTACATTTAAATAATTTTATGACTTCATCATTCCTGTTATAGTCCTTCTTTGTATGCTTAAACTTTGCTTATACTTGTACTTTAAATTACATATACTGCATTCCATTTTCAACAAAGACGACAAAACACTGAAACAAAGACAAATCCAGTTGCCATGATTGGAACTGTTCACCATAGTGGCATAATTTAGAACTAATGTTTACCAGAGAGCTAGACTCTTGTGTTCAGCACAGCTCTATACAGGAGCAGCCATTACCCCTACAGGTGAAAATCCATGATTGGAATTTAAAATTTCAGTATAACATGCACCTCCTTAAGATTGTCTTTAACCCACAGATTATCTGTGTTTAATATTCATGAAAATTTGATAAAACATTTAAAGAGGTGTTTGAGTAAATTTGTAGAGAGTTAAATTAAGTATGTATTTTTTTGTGTGTAATATTTTGAGATTATCTAAAAATTAAGTTTTGAACAATAGATGTTTGGTTTCAAAATCCAATTGTAGAATGAACAGCATCAGATATGATTAAATTGATAATGATTTCTATTCATTACAATAGTGGCATTTTATTTTGCAGTTATATCTAGTTAATTGGTAACTAATTATTAACATAGCCTGAAAATAGCCTGATAGTTTGGCAGATTGTTTGGCTTTAATTAATTAAATTGGGTTTTGAGCTGTTGTTATATCTAATTCTTGTAACATACCATATATTACATGGTTTCTGTTATAGATTAAAATAGCATTAGTTGTCATATACGAAGAGATGTGACCTTAACAAAAGGTTTTAATTCATGTCTAAAAATATACTACAAGAACATGGTGGCTGCCAGTTCAAACATTGCAGTTACAACTCAAAATGCAGAGGAAACAGTGTTTGCAATACTGTGATATATTATTACACTCTCTCCTGCTAACATTACACAATTTAATCCTTCAAATATAAAGGCTTATGGCACTATTAGGTGACCTGTTTACTTCAGTTGGAGTTGAGGAAGTATCTTCTTTATCTTCAGCTTGAAGGGAATGCAAGTCACTTTCACTAACTGAAGGAGATGCTCATAAAATCAATACCAGCACATAACAAGAAAAATGGAAAAATTTACAAATGTTTTCATCTATGTGAAATAAACATTCCTGGGTATATACAATATCAAACAAATAGTTAACAAAAATAGAATGTTTTTTAAAAGTTCGAACTTTAAAAAACATTCTATTAATATTTCAAAATATTCAATATATGTTTGGGATAAAATTTCAAAATATGTATATTTTAAATATCCTGAACATATAAATTTTAATATAATATATTTGAATCACGTAATCAGTTTGAACTTTTAAAAAACATTCTATTTTTGTTAGCCATTTGTTCGCTATCNCATATAAATTTTAATAATATATTTGAATCACGTAATCAGTTTGAACTTTTAAAAAACATTCTATTTTTGTTAGCCATTTGTTCGCTATCGCATATACCTGAGAATGTCTATTTCATATAGACAAAAACATTTGAAAATTTTTCTTTTCTCTTGTTACGTGCTGGTGTTGGTTTTATGAGTGATATATTTATACAAATCCAGTTTTTGGATATATTGAAGGAGATGCTGCAGGAACATCTGAGGACTGTCTGTTCAGGAACCAGGGCTGAAGTGTAAGGAAGAATTGTGTCTTCTCTTGGTGCTTTGGGCAAAGACTTACCTCTTGGGGAGATTAGCTGTAGGGAAATTGTTATGTTGATGTTCATCTATCAGGATATTGCATGTAGCCATATCTGAGTTAGTGTCCAATAACTGGACTTCCTTAACTATAGGGAATTATTTATTGGTATAGTTATATGAATGAACATAATAAAATGGGACCTGGAGATAGTAGCCAAGTGGAAAAGTAAATAACCGTTCCTGTTTTTCTGGGATGTTTGAAAAATTTCTTGTGAGTTGTAGAATTAGTTTCAGTGCATAGAATGGCATTAAAGTGTTGCAAAGCACATCTTCCCATTGGTCAATACTCAGATTAACTGAGCTTAGTGCTTTCAAATAATATCATTATAATACTCAATGAGACCATTGCCCTGACATTTATATGTAATAGAAAAATTAGATGCAACACCAATAAGGGTAAGAAAGGAATGAAGTTTATGGGATAAGAAAGCAGCTCCTCTATCCAAATGTATATATGAAGGAATTCCAAAGATTAAAAACAACTGATGGAAGCACTTAATACAGTATCACTACTGATGTCACGGCATGGAAAAGCAATTGGGAACCATAAATGTTTGTCTACTATTGTGAAGAGGCAGCAATTCTTTGACTTAGAAGGAGGAAAATCCTTAAAGTCAATGTCTGATCATTCAAAAGGAGCCATAACTTTAATGAGATGGCTTGAAGAGATAAAAAAATTTTGGTTTTATTTTTACACTGATGGGATAAGAAGCAATTAATTTCAATGTATCTTCTACAGAAGCCTACTTTTCATCTAGTGATAGAAATGGGTTATTTCTGGATGACAGAGATAGTTATGGATGGAGAGCAGACAGACTATCCAAATTTGAGATCAATCAGCAAATTCTTGAGAGAGTATCAGCCAGTGTTTTGACTGCCTGGATAGGGTACACAGTATCAAATCTGTAGCATGATAGTTCTAATCTCCACCTTAAAATCTTGTAATTCTTAATTTTACTGTTAGTGTTAGAAGAAAATATGAAAACTGCAGAACACTGGTCAGTAATTAGTGTAAAATGATGGCCAACTAAGAAATGCTTCCACTTTAATGCTTTGACTATAGCATATGCAATAAAACAATCTTCTAAACAAAGTATTAATTATAAACAAAACATACCAACCTTATTGTGCTTTGCACATAGTTTTGAAAGTTATCATGTTACTAATGTTTTCAGTCCACATCCAGGATCTTCCTGAGGTAGATCTTTTTGAAAAACAATTCTTTATGATGTTGATGGTGTTCTATTTTGCATTTGTATTTGAATATTGTATGTTTTCTTTTTATGAATTTTTATAAAATGTGCTCCTGCATTATTTGTTATAACATCCAGTCATACATAGCTTACCATGCCTTTGAGATTTGTTTTTCTTCTTTAAAATTGATCAAAAGCCCTGGCAGTCTGCTTTAAAAATTTCTAACACCTCCAAATTTCTAAGTTGGTTTATATGATGAGTTTGTCATATGATCAGATTGAATTAGGATACATTTTTATAAATTATTATTTTTTTAAATTAAATATTCAGAAAAAGATTATTAGATAATTATTTTTTAAAACTTAAATGTTTTATGTATTTAAATGTTTTCATGTATTTTTATATACTATTTTTCTTTTCTTTTCTGTAGCTATGGACGAAGCTCTCCTGGATTATCAACACAAGGCCAAACATTTTTACGTGTTGACACTCCTAATAATGCTAGTGCTACAGGCAGTAAGTTATAATTTACTTCATTTATGATTAATTTATTTCTCTGAATTGTCAAAGGTTGAGTTTTTTTATATAAAGATAAAGAAATAGAAAGTACATAGTAATATATATGTTTTTTATTTTTTCTCATTTAATGATTTCTTAGATTTTCAAAAATTTTAATTTCTTTACAGTTTGAATTCATTTTGTTCTTAATTTCCAAAAAATAAAATTTTTGGGAATTAAAAGTAAAATGAATTCAAACCAAGTCAAATATTACCAGATTTTTTTAAAACTGTAATTAGTCTATTTGACTTTATTTGTTTTGTAGTTAGATATATAAACAATGTACATCTCAGTAATATCCACAATAGAGCTTGTAAGCTATGTGCAGTTCAAAGCATCTTAGGTAGCTCTTGAGGTTTCATACAATAATATATTTTTTAATTATTAAACATTCAGTTATTTGAAAAAGTTTTGTAGGAAAGTGAAATATTAATAAAATTCATTATTTAAAAAATTACTTTTGTCACATGAAACTATAAATAAATTAAACATACTATGGGTTATTTAATGTTTCACAAGATGGACATATCCAGGAGAGCTTATGGTGCTATTGAACCTTCTTGATACTAAGGTATAAGCAGGTGGTGAAAAATGAGTCTAACAAAGAGAATGATAAGACAAAGGAAATTCTTTAATTTTTCACCAGTATTCGATAATTTTACAGGATTTCGTTTGGATTCCGACAACTGCTTGAACAAAATGTCTTGAATATTAACGCAAACAGGAACGTTAACCGGATTCTCGCGACAAAGGAACAGCTTTTCAAAAATACGCAGTGTTACAAAATTAAGCACGAAAAACTTACAATTAATTATTCGGAAACTACTTATTTTATAGGGAAGGATAGAAGGAGTATTTGATAGGATAGGACCGAACATGAATGGGTACCCAACTTATCTAGTAACCTTATGATCGAAGTTGTATCTTAGATCTCTCTGCTGGATGACATGAAGTCCGATGACCATAGACTTCAAACTTTTCCTTTCTCTCTTCGGGTTTCCCAATAAACTTCTGGAGGGGTTCTCACGTTAGCATACTTCTAGGGTTCTTCTCTCGTGTCTGCTCTTAGACCTACTCGTTCTTTTTCTCTTCTTGGTGATGCAAGATCTACTTGACGATATCCACGAAATACGTCCTCACAGCTCAATGTCTATGCCAAAAGTAACCCCTGTATCTTCCTTTTAGCGCCTCTGGGCTAACCACTCCTTTTGTTTTTCAATCATGTAGTTGCCACCCACAGAGAGGTTTCCAGAAAGGAGAGGACAAGGAAACAAAGGACAGAGAAAGAAGGGGAAATGAAATATATATATATATATATATATACAAATACGTTATACAAAAATATGGCGTACAACCACAATACCAAAGCAATTAGTTTTGTTACTTCAAAAATAAAAATAAGTGCACTTCAATAGCAGAAAGTAATCTTAGAAATATTAAAAAAATATATTTTTTTTAATCTGTGTGGAGTGGAGTATAGACTAAAAATAATCACATATGAATTCAAAATAATTGTAATTTTGATAATTTCGAGTGAAAATAAAAATGCAGTTATTTTCTATCTATACTTACCTGCTTTTGGAATCATACTGTAATTTGTATAATTTATAATCAGTTTTTCAATTCAAAATTATCCATTATCCATTTTTCATCATCCATTTAACAATTTTAAAAAGCCAATGAAAAAAAAGAATGATGTAAAAGTTAGATAACTGAGGTTTAACTCCAAGATAATTGAGTAGCATTCTCTGAAAAATGGCAAGAGCACAAGTCTTGGTCCCTTTGAATCTGCCTTGACCAGCACCCATGTTCTCAAAATCTTGGATATACCACTGTCATAAAAATATTCACAGGCTGTATCTGTATATATGCAACGTAATGTTGGCAACTTTTGCTATTTCCAGCATAAATATATAGATCTTTTCCATATTTTGCTTCCATATATGGCAATTCCTGAAGAACAGTTAGCTAGACATCCTTGATATGTATTTATATTTAAAACATGTACAGAATTGTTATTTGGAATTCAAATTTCAATCTTTTAGTCTTAGTATTGAATTTTATGTTCTATTCGTGTTTATGCCATTCACTTTTATGTGGCTTTTCATCTTGAATGATAATAATATACTCTGTATTTTTTGGTGATGTTGTGTGGTGCCTTAATATACTGTAGCTGGATGAGTCTGCTGTATAATTCAGGATGACTGACACCAGTCAGTTTTTCTTTTGGAGAACTGACTGGTGTTAGTCATCCTGAATTGACTGGTGTAAGTTGTTAACAGTTCTTTTGAATTCTCTCTACTTGAACATAAACCTTCTAACTCCCCAGTATTACTCTTTTTGGCAAACGTTTTCGACCCTACCAGGGTCTTCTTCAGGCTACCGTTTTAATAAATTCAAATATTGCAAAATCGAACAGTAATGGATTAAATGCGATTCAAATCCTAGAATGTCAACGTTTATATCAAAAATATAGAACACCACGTTCTTTCTCGATGACATTAAAGCTTGCGTAAATTGCGCTTGTAATAAACGACATTGCACTCAATTATGTGTGGGGTGTTTCTTCATAACAAAATTTCCATGCTTTAGAGATATTAATGAGTAATACTGGGGAGTTAGAAGGTTTATGTTCAAGTAGAGAGAATTATATTTCCTCCAGTGGTAGATAGGAAGTTCATTAGTTCTTTTGAATTTGATTAAATACTTTTTTAGGTGGGTTCACCTTATCATCAGATCATTCGTTCATTCATTTTTCGAACACTGTAATGAATTCAGTCATGGAATATTTTTTAAACTTCAGCATGCGTGATCAACTCACAAGTGTTCACCTTCAAGTTCAATTGTTTTAGCTCTGGATCTGGCTGTGGTGGCAGGTTTCTTGATCTCATTTTGACCTTCTTATGTCATTTTTTCTGGTTTATAATTTTTAGGAGCCAAACCCAGGTATCTAGGTGTGAGGACCCGAACAGGGGTCGACTGAGAGGTCCGAATTGTGGGTTCGATTGAAAATAAAGAGATCCTTTTCAGATGATAAGGAAATGGATTAGGTGTCTCGATTGAACAATGCAATTGTTTTTTTTTCATAAAAGGCTAAACAATGGAAACGGAGAAATTCGAGGAAAACGCGACGAGAGAGAGGATCATATTCAGTCGCTATGTTAACCTCTCCCGCGCCCTCCATTAGGTTTCGAATTGTCACCAGGTGACAATGAGAGACCAATGGAGAGGCGACTGCTGTAAAAAAATCTATAAATTTGTGCGACTCAAGAGACGAAGGTTCTTGGTTCATAGTTTTTGGTNTATAAAAATATAATAATATTTTTATTCATAGCTATACTGTACTTGCACTGCAAGAATAAGTAAATTATTTCTTTTAAAAACGTTTGAAAATTTTTAAGTATATAAAAAATAATCATATATATTTTTAAATATCTGATAAGTGTTTCACATTTTGTACACTTCAGTTGTTAAGTGTAACTTAAATATATCACATAAAAGCTGGAATAATATACAACTAATTGCGACACACGTTTCTTACTTTTCCAGCAGTCAGTTGATTAAAAGAATGCAAAAAACAAATGTTTTCAGCCTTTTTAGAAATCTGCTTCAGGTTATTAAGCCATTTGAATAATGGAAAGGTTTCTATGTTTTCTAAACTAGGTCAGCTAAGAACAATTGAAGTTTATAAAGATACTGAACACACCTTACATACTTTTCCAGCAATTAAATTTAATTAAAACAAATGTTTTCAGCCTGATTGATAAACCTTTGTTCTTGTTTACAGTATACTGTATATAGTTGTGTTTTGTTCTGTATCATAGGAAATTTTTCACATTTGATAAATTGCACTAACAATAATTCAAAGTTTGTTTTAGTCTTCTGCAGTTTTGACTTATCATGACTTTACTGTATATGCAAATACAGTGGTACCTCATACTTTGAATGACTCTAACTAGGAATGCTTTAAAGTTCAGACTCCAAATTTGACAAAAATTTGCTTTTATGGCCCTAAATATTTCACAGATAATTTTCCAAAGTTCTTACTTCTCCTCTTACGGAGCCAAACTCTTTGCCCTTCTACCTAAGTGTTGATTTTTTGGTTACAGTAAATCTGGCTTTGGTATTCAGATTTCTCCATCTTCCCAACTTATATGCAGCCTCCTGGATCGTTTTTAGCCTGATCCTTAAGTCTGCTGTTTGTTGCTTAATTTGATTGTCATTTCATTGATCTGACAAAAAGGCAACTGGGAAGTATGGGTCAAAGCCATAAAGTTGAGGTATGGGTTGCATTATTGTACATGAAGAGGAGTGCTGGTGAGATGAATAAATCCCATTTCCTATTATTTCCTTTAGATATGTGAGCTATTACATTGCAAAGCATTTTATTAAATTTCTTGCAAACTGAGTTTGAACAGGGGCAGTATGCCATGGTAATATTATGTTTTATCTGTAAGTGATTGCAAGCATCTTGGAATAGCTGACGTGAAGCTATTCTCACAGTCCAAGATAATAATGTTGGGGCACCCATATCTGCATATTATATGGTCAAAGATAGCTCAGCTATTACCTGTGCTGATTGGTCCTTCATGGGGTTGCTTCAGCAAAATGGTTGTATACATTGATCATAGTAAATACTGTATGGATGAATGGTCACTTGGGGATACATGGAGGGGCCTACAATATCAATTGCAATTTTCTGAAATGGGAATTCCACAGTTCACGTTTCATGAAGTGGTGCGTGGCCATGGTGGAGGTTGTATTTTTGACATATTTTACAACAACGGACAATACGCTTCACTTGGGCTCGGAGGCCTTTTATGTAGTACTAACGATCTATCAGATCATGGGTTTTCTCAATGTTAAGGTGGCCCAAGAGGGGTGAGCAATGAAATACTTTAATCACATCGTCAACCACTTTTTTATACACACACACACACACACACACATCTACTTAC